CACGTCATACTCCACTAGCTAAAAAAAAAATTTCGTACCAGCATTATTACTTGACCGACTGAATTGTATGAAGTAATCGTCAGCCATGACGACATAAGAAACAAATTATCATCATCCATTCACTGAAGGTGAAAGCAGAGCGAAATTAGTGAGTTTCCTTCTTTTTTCTTTTCTCCACTTCATCTCTTGTAATTTAATTGTGTCTGCTAGTGCGACTAATTAAAGTCTTCTTACTCCTATGTTTGTAAGTATGCTATGAAATATGTAATATTTTTATGTTGTTCTTATTGATTCTTTATGTCAATATTATGTTATTTTGTTTCCACTTCTTCTTGCTACGCTTAGTGTATGAAACGAACTAAAAGTGTGCTTTGCATCTCTGAAATGATTATATAGGGTTGTTGTCTGTTATAAATCTAAAAGATCTTGTGGAGCCTTAGTTTTATGTACAAAGCCACGGGGAATAGTATAATATGAACCAGAGATATTAAGGCCAAATCCCAGAATTGGAAGAAACGATGTAATATAATATTAAGATAACTTCTCATTAGGAAGCATGATGGATCCGAATATTTCATACCATACCGGAGACAAAAGAGTGAGAAGAATTTGATAATAATGGAAAATAAAATAAATAAATCAACAAATTCTAAATAGTAACACAACTATTGCAACTATTCTTGCCGAATGGTGTAACTTAGAAAGACTCTTTTAATCCAGATATTCTTGGATGGACTAATAAAAAAAAAATAATTTCAAGAGAATATTCAATGAGTTATTCGTATTAATGAAATTATTACAGTTGAAGAACCCTCTCTAACTGAAAATAAAATAAAAGATTTAATTAATGTTCCAACAGGACATCAATTCATAGCTGGCTGTTATTATCTTTAGCTTCGAGCTTCTCTTTTATCCCTTGTAGCATGTCTCTCTTCTGACAATACATACATTTATGCATTTTTTTTTAATTTTTGGCAAAATAATTCTTTAACTTCCATGCTGAAAGCTACAACATTCTTGTTAAGAAGGGAGACCCATTTCTTGTATATTACTTCATGTTTTTTTTGCGTCGGTTGCTTGCAATGACTATATATGAATAAATGCTCAGACAATGATAGACCCAAATGTACTTGGGGTCTAATTTCTTAGTTTCATTTCAAATTTGATATAAATCAACCTTAGATCTTTGACATAATAATCCATCAGTTTATATTTTAGAGTATAAGATTCACTATTAATTCCGATTTGTATAAAAGAAATAACTCCTTCCCTTATTTCGGGATAAGTTTGGCATAATTATATATATATATTATATATGTTCTAGTGTTTGACGACCCGTGGAAAGTCTCTACGGCACAAATTACTGGTTTTTGGTAATTCTCTTAGAAGATTTTTATCTTCTAAATAAATCATGCGAACAAGGCTACATTTATATAATTCAAAAATGAGTTTGGAATCCGTATTTCCATAAATATAAATGACTTCGAATTTTCCAGTCATGTGAAAGTAAATTTGAGAATTAATTATTTTCTCATAGAGAGATAATTGCTGCCATTGATCACCTATTTCTATTATGCTCTTCATAGAGCTAATTAATGCATTTTGCAATACATTAGCATAAGTATGCATATTATTTGAAGAAGTTCATACTTCTTCTGTAATACCATGATTTGTAAAATCTTGTAATCTGGTATTTGAAGAGGTAGCTACTTCTTTAATAAGAGAAGATGTTTCTTTTGTAATTCTGAGATTTGCAAATTCTCTTTTGTTTTTTGTAATTCAGATATTTAAGGTAATTCATCATCTTAGATTTTTCCAGTCAGAAAATATTTTACTTTCAGTAATTCTTTTAGATTGTTGCCGCCATAGGCAATCAAACATTCTAATTTTTAGGTTTGTAATTCAAGAATTTCTAAATAATTATTTAATTCGGGATTAGACTTGTCATCAGTCTCACCAACTATGTCATAAATCTCCATACTTTCAATATATGTATTTATTTCTTGTATAATTCACGAGTTAGAGTGTTAGCAAGAGTATTTTTATTACACTCGATATATTTTATATTAAAAGTATAAGAAGAAAACCAACTTTGTCATCTAATTAGTCTTTTATTAGGCAGTGAGTCTTCTATTTTTTGTTTGATAAATGAAATAGAAGTCTTATGGTCTGTTCTAACTAAAAGTCTCATTTAGAAATATTTCAAATTTATTTATTGCTTATTTAATTGCTAGTAATTCTTTTTTATTAATATAGTAATTTTGTTTTGTAGTTGTGTACGTACCTGAGCTGTATCTGCACAAAAGTTCAGTACCATTACGTCGAGCTTTTAAAATTACTCCACATGCTAACTCAGAGCTGTCATGTTCTATAATTAAATAATCACCAAAGACAAGTAAATGTAATTTAAGAAGGTTTTTACGTAGATCTTTGATCTGCTGTAAAATCTTTTGATCATTTTCATCTCAAATCCAAACCATATTTTTTCATAATTTTTTTTCTAACAGAGCTCGTAGTTCTGCGTGATTTTTAATGAATGCTTTGGCGTAATTAATATAACATAAAAATCGGCGTAGATCTTTTTGATTAGTAATATGCTTACAATAATTGATTTTTGTTAAAATATGTTCTTGAACTCTATTGCTCTTTTATTTATACTAATTCATAGAAATTCAATATATTTGTTACAAAAACAACTTACTTTTTGCTTAATGCGATTCCTTGTTTTTGCGCTTTTTGTGAGAAAAGGGCTAAATGTTTTAAATGCCGTGCAAGGGTTTAACTAAATATTAAAATTTCATCTATGTAAATTAAACATAATTGAGATAATTCGACAATGATTTTATCCATTCTTCGTTGAAATATTTGTGCAGCATTTTTTAATCCAAAGGACATAACATTCAATTTATAATGTCCTTGAGGAGTGCTCAAAGCTGTAAATTCTCTACTATTTGGATGCATCATAATTTGCCAAAACCCAGATTTACAATCTAATTTAGAAAACCATTTAGTTGTTTTAATGTGATTTATTAATTCTTCTTTATTTGGTAGAAAATATCTATCAAATTTTGTATTCTCATTAAGTTTTTTGTAATTGAATATCATTCTGGTTTTTTCTCTAATTTGCTCAGCATGATTTCTTATTAAAAATGCTTGATTGCTATGTGGACTATTGCTGGCTTCTATTAATTTAAGGTTTAGTAATTCTTGAATTTGAATATGAAATTCTTTTTTATCTTCAGAGGTATATTTCATAGGACGTTCTCTAATGATAAGTGATGGACTATATTTGTGGACTATTGCTGGCTTCTATTAATTTAAGGTTTAGTAATTCTTGAATTTGAATATGAAATTCTTTATTTATCTTCAGAGGTATATTTCATAGGATGTTCTCTAATGATAAGTGATGCATTAATTGGTTCAATAATTGCAACGGGTTCATCGTGAGACCATAATTGTAGAGGGGTTTCTGAAAAATGAAGGATTAAATAAAGAAGATGCAAAAGCACAAATTTCTGTAAGTTTGGCGTTATCTAGAGAAAATGTCGTATATATGTCAGATCGGATACTAAGTAGATGGGGAAAAGCATTTTAATATGTTGATCTACATTATAATCACCACGCTAGTTGCAAAAAGTGAGCGCAGTTGAGTGAAATATTGGCGTTCAGATTAAAGGATAAATTAGTGGATAATGAGTGGGCGTTACTAGAGTGATTTTAGTTGATGATTGAGTAAATGAGAGGAAGGTTTTTAAGAAATCATTTCTGAGAATTAAATCAGGGCCATCATCAGGGAGACATCATAATTTCGGTATTTTTAGAAGAGCTGATGGAATAACAAAAAATTGATTAGTCCAATATTCACTGATAGTTCAGAGACCAATAAATTTCAAGTAGTTGTTTTTCAGTATGTATAGGAATATGATCGGGAATCATAAATTTTTACAGATAGTGATATCACTACTAGTATCACATAAAACGTATATTGAAATAAGCTCATACGTAGGAATATATAATTCTGCAGTGATATGCTATGAAAGTGCATTACGTTGTAAATTGTGATTATCTATATGAACAATATCATGCGTAAATGTAATAGTATGTCGTTGGAGGAAATCCATACCTACTAAAATACGGTTCGAATTTTTGTCATCTGTTAAAAATAAATGTTGGAAATCAATTCATTGATTATTGACGTCCCAAAATCCAAAGAGTAGATTAGCTTGGTGAGTACAGGAGTGTTTTTGTCCAAGATAGTTTTGATATATATATATGTATATATATATATATATATATATATAGTATCTTTTAATATATGGAGATTTGTTGGTACTAAGTTTTGATCTATATGTGATCGATGAGATCATGTGTCTAATAAGATAGTACTTTTGCTTTCTGGTGAGATACAATAATCAGTTTCTAATAATTGTAGCATTTAACATACTGATCCAATTCATTTAGATCATCTCTTTTCTCACATAGGTCAAACTATTCAACCTGAAGAAATCAGTGAATTAGAAATTACTCCACCTTCGTCTATTCTTCTTCTTGATTTTCATGAAGATAGAAAATATGGAAGCCAAATGCATCAATGATTTTACTTCATAGAAAATTATAACCAACTTGCTATATAACCACGATGATCTCTATATACAAAGTCGTTCTATCTTTCTTAAACCATCCCCAAGTATAAAAGAATATAATATATATATATATATATATATATATATAAATGCATCTTGATAAATATCTTAAAATAATATATATATATATATATTAATATGGTAATTATTGCTAATTATCCTTGCTGTACAAATATCGTTATATATTTAATCATTTTTTACTTTAAAGGAAAGCCCACACCACAACTAAATTTCACCACAATACTCTCTTTTTATGGCTTGAGCCTTCAACGTTCAACGTACAATTTCTTTTTTTTTTTTTTTATGTTTGCTTTTTGTTGGCAAATCACCACTTAAGTTTATTTCGCTTTTTTTCAGCTTGAGCCAGCTGGTTCGCTGGATGGCAGCGAAAGCTGAGGAGTTGGGTGTAGAAATTTATCCCGGTTTTGCTGCTAGCGAGGTACTTCTCTTGATTTTGCTCATTATAACAGTTCGCGTTTGTTTGGTGCTTTGCTCTAAGCTTCATAATTGGACAGATTCTCTATGATGAAAATAACAGGGTTGTTGGGATTGGGACTAATGACATGGGCATTGCAAAAGATGGATCGAGAAAGGAAACTTTTCAAAGTGGCATTGAGCTAAGAGGCATGCCAGTGAAGCACTTCTTTTCTTTATTAGAAAGTCGAAACATAATTTCTTCCTCTGTTTTACTGTATTTTTGTCTTAGAGAAGGATATGTTTGTACGTTAGTTAATTTTTTATTTTTAATACCATGTTCGTGAAATGAAGGTTTTTGGACTGTCTAATCAGACTTTCATGATGGAATGTTCAGAACATGCTCTTTGCTTGGAAAACTGCAGTTAGCTTGCAGTTTTCCAAGCTCCTAATCTTTCTTCTTTCTTTGGCGAAAACATTTAGAAACTTTCCCACTACTTTGTTGTGCCTTAACTAATTTTTATTTTGTTTTAGTTTTATTTTTATTTTTATTTTTTTGTGAATCATGTCAAATAATTTCATTTCATTCTGCAGATTTACCTAGGGGAGATGTTTGTCATTGGTTGTTTTTTTTTTGCTTAAATTATTTATTAAACCATTTGAAAACATTTTTTTCCAAAATTTCATGTTACTGATTAGGAGCTGTATTCTTGGAATTAATCAATTATTTTACTTGACCTTCTCTGGTGAAACCCATTTAAAAACTAGGCCGCTACTTCGTTGCGACATAAATGTATCGTTTCCTTTCTTATTCACGTTAAGTATTCTCTCTTAATTTGGTTTCTTTAAGAGGGGTGGTTGTCTTAATCCGTTGTTTACTTTGCTTAAATTGCTTAAATTATTTAAACCATTAATTTTTTTTTTTTTGGTTGCAATCATCGATACCGGCTAAGAATGTAATCTTGGCATATATCAATTGTGCTTCTTTTCTTGACCGGTTATAAAATTGGCAATTTCTTATTGCACAATGCCAATTTTTCATTATCTGATTGCTGCATTCAATCTTCCTTTATAGTGAATAACTAATTTTTAATTGTCCAGGAAGGCTAACATTTCTTGCTGAAGGATGTAGAGGTTCATTATCAGAGGTCAGCTTAAAAATATGCATCGCAGTTGCTGAATAGTCAATTTTACCTAGCTACTGTCTTGTTACATCAGTCAAATAATTTTAATATTGACTTAATGTCAGCTTGGTTGCTCTTTCTTCTTATAGAAAATAATAAGAAACTATAAACTTCGAGAAAAAGGACCAGTGCAACATCAAACGTATGCATTAGGCGTTAAAGAGGTAATTCATTGTGCACCTTTGTTAGTTGTCTGCCTTGCATATTGCTATATTAGAAGTGGGATTGCCATAATTGCTATTTTTTCTGTTTTTTGTATTTAATTGTTTGTTTATTCTACCATGGCCTTTCTTATTAAGTTGTTTGTCAAGTCCTATTCAGTTAAAGACAGTTTCTACCAGTATTGATTTTGATTTGACGAACTAGGATCAAGTAAGTAGAAAACTAGTCCATGTAAATCGTTATATTGCTATATTAGAAGTGGGAATGCCATAATTGCTATTTTTTCTGTTTTTTGTAATTAATTATTTGTTTATTCTACCATGGCCTTTCTTATTAAGATGTTTGTTAAGTCTCATTTTTGACCCCCTTCAATCAAATTGAAGAGGTGGACTATTCAGTTAAAGACAGTTTCTACCAGTATTGATTTTGATTTGACGAACTAGGATCATGTGAGTAGAAAACTAGTCCATGTAAATCGTTATAGAACATAAACTATACGTCAAAATATTCTTATAGATCCATCATAATCATTAGCGTGGAAGTGTGAGAAATTTAAATCTTCAAAATGGACTATATAGCTTCTATTAAAATTTATATAACTAATGGATACTCAAATGTTTAATGTACATCTTATATATATTTTCCTTATGGTACTTCCAAAACTATACACCTATCTCTCTAAAATACTGGACAAAAATAGTTTAAGTGATTATGTTCCAATCTGTTCCTTTTTTGGTTCTTGAAACAGCAGTTATATTATTTGATGAATTAAAAGCTTAGTAGGATAAACAATTATAATGCAGGATTTAAAGTACAAGAAAGACCATAATGTTATGCATGCTGCTCTTTTGTGTCTACTTGGGCACTAATCATATACATGGACAGCTTAATGCAATAAGTTCAAATTAAGACATGCGTTGATGATTGCATGAGTAAAAGATACAATCATAAGAGATAAACATAAATGTCTACAATGAAATGAAATATTTTTTTGATCAAATCATTTAATTCATTAGGTTTGTCCATTGCTGTATTAAACTTCATGTTTTATCTTCTTTTTATTTTTTCATTGTTGTTGTTCTTAGTATTAAAAAAAAAATTGTTTGATCTTTCTATAAACTTTAATACATATATATCACTTGATTGTCATCTGGTCCATCTGCCATCATCATCACTAATGAGCTCTAGACTTAATCCACATTTGAACTACCAATGGCCTTTAGATGCATGTTTGGATCATCTCGGACCATCTTTTTATTATTTAGAGTTAAGAATTCTTTTGGGCCCTATATAGGGTTCAGGCTCATATTGTTAGTAATTTTATCTATCTCTTTACAACTCATTATAATATGCTAATTTATCTTTCATTGAAATGATCTTTCATTGGCATCTTGGCATCTTTTTTTTTTTTTAACATCATATCTTACATATTTAAAAGATTTTTATTATTTTTGTGTAGTTGTTATCTTCAACCTATACTAACCAACAGTTGAGGCAATCATATGCAATAATTGAGTAACATAAGGATACTTCAAAATGCATGGTGTATAATAGGAGTTAAAGACTTCAATAGTATGAGTTTAATACATAGGATCATTTTTAACAGAAGAACACGTGATCTTTCAATAACAATAAATATAATTTAAAACTCAATGTAGAGAAATTTGTATTTATATGTACACGGAGTTTAATTTAATAGTTGAAAATTTCAGTCATTATCTCAACATAATTTTAAGATCCTCCAGAGAAATAGTTCTTTCCTTCCATCTCTCCAAAGTCTTATTACTCTTTCATAAGAAACCTAATAACATATTTCTATTTACCATTATAATTTTTACTCAAATTAATCTCAAAATTACATTTATGTTCATTCAAGCTTCTACGTTTATATAGCTAAACCAACTTAATTCGTGGAAATAAATGCTTGAAACTAGATTCCTTAATCATAACACTAGCTTTCCTTCTTCTTTGCTTCTTCTTCTTCTTAGTTTCTTTCCTCCATCTGTGGCTTTGCTAGTTTCAAGAATTTGATAGAATATAATGGAGTTATGCTTTAGCTAAGTAATTCTATTAATATTAATACATATATAAGTACTAATATCCTAAAACAATTATTGAGATTTGGCATCACACGTGCAGGAAAGTTGAAAAGTATAACTTGCTAGAGTGTAATTTTGTGAACAGTAATTTAAATAAGTGAGTACTAAAAATAAGCTAACTTTTGTAAATAAATTAAATTAGAAAATTGATTTATTTGGGCTAATATTACTAATATATTTATATGTACTTTATATTATCAAGAAGATCGATATGAAATGTGGAAATTTATTAAAATCCTATAAACATTTTGGGGATGTGCGAAAATTAGGGTATAAATTTTTTAGCAAATTTTACTGCACTCTTTTCATTCTTGGATATTGAAGTTTGGTCATTTGTTGGGATTTGTAAAAATTAGGTCATTATTTTTAACATTTTTATCCCATTGATTGTAGTGCTTTACTTATGGAGATGACAATGCATACGTGATAGAAATTTACCGCGTAGTTGAGCTCTACATTGGAATCTAAATGAGTAGAAGTAAAACTGAATACATTGAAAGTAATTTTAGTAGTAGTAGCTTTAGTGACAAAGTTGTAACTATGGGTGATCAAAACATTTAAAGGTGTGAACGTTTTAGATATCTCTGGTCTATTGTTCAACGTGATGGTGATATAGATCAGGATGTTATTAATAGAATTCAAGTTGGTTGGTTGAAGTGGAGGAATACATCGGGCCTATTGTGTAATATAAAAGTACCGCTTAGATTGAAGGAAAGTTTTATAAGATGATGGTGAGACCTGCAATGCTTTATGGTGGAGAATGTTGGCCTTTATAAAAGAAGCATAAAACAAAGTTAAGTATTGTTGAGATGAGAATGCTTAGGTGGATGAGTGACTTGATACTTAGAGAATGCAAAATGAATATATCTGTGATAGGGCTGGTGTAGCGCCAGTGGCAGAAAAGATTAGAGAGAGTCATCTTAGATGGTTTGGTCACATTAAACATCGACCATCTGATGATCTAGTTAGGAGAAAAGATGTTTTAGATTTGACTTATGTTAAGAAAAACAGAGATAGACCTAAAAAGACTTGGGTGTAATGTATAAGAAAATGTTCTTAATTTGTTAGACTTAAATGAAAAAATGACACTCAAGAGGATGCAATGAAAAAAATGATTCAAGTAGCCGACCCACTTAATGGGATAAAGGCTTGCTGTTGTTGTTGCTGATTGTAGTGCTTTAGTTTTGATTGATGTGCTTGATGAAAAAAAGAGTATAATGTTGGGATAATTAGTAGTATTTTCTAACAAGGATAGTCTGTATGGCAGTGGTTGATTATTATGGATTTTAAGAAATCCTCCTATATGGGAGGTTTAATGGCATTATGTTGTTTGCGTTGGAAGTGCTAAATATGAGTTTTGTTTCTCTATTTAAAGAATACTATGCGGCCTTCGACAATTTTGATCCCCCCCCAAAGCTCTCTGTTATTTCTTGTGTTGAGAGAGCTTTGAAAGTCAAATTTTCAGAAGTCAGATGGAATAGTAGTTAAGACACTGCCCAGTGATTTCAACCTAATTTTTGTGAAGATTTTTTGATATGAGGTTCAAGGTTTCTCATAGACACCATCCTAATAATAGGAGAGCACTTTTGAGTAAAGCTAGTCGTTTAATACTGAATAATTAGCATATAGTAGCAACAAACATACATTTTATATTGTAAAATTTATCACTTCGAGCTTAAAGTGGACGACCAGGAAAATGATGAATCCGAACAAGATCTCATGATTCCGTCATCCCGGGTCGTCCCTGACCTACTTAGTTAAAATAGAGTCAACCCAATCTGACTAAAAGATCATTGTTAGCAACCAGGTTGTGTCATCCAAGGTATAGTTGTAGATATGGGTAGAAGTTTGTGCAAGGGGATAAATTTAAGTCGAATTTAGCTAAAAAAAGGTTTGTGTCAATCAATTATATTGTTATGGTTCACAGCTCATAGAGAAAAAAGAACTATTGTGGAACATTTGGGTTGTGACCGTAACCATATTATAATGATGTCATTTGGTGGAAACCACCCGGTCATAGGGGTCTGGCCGTAATTATTATTTGTGGATAGATGACTTGAGCCATGCTCTTACTACGTTAAATAACTTTGAGTGGGAATATAATAGTACACTGAATGTGAAATTAGCTCTTTTATGGCTGAAAGAAATCAAAAGTTTGTCACACCCTTGATAAACTGTTGTAGAGTAGATGCGATTTATTTTAAGTATTTAAGTGATTAATTTTACTTGACTATTTAATTTGTTATTTTGAAAAATTATATTAAAATTGACATCTCCAATTGAGATTTACAATCGACACGACCATCATTGGGAATTTGAATATTTGAAACTTTTATGTTTAATATTCATTTGAATTTTTTCTTTTTTTGATATTTTTTGCATATTAGTCCTGTCGTCTCCAACCCTAATAAGGAGGACAATTAGACCATGCAATTTGGGCTTTCAAACTTTTATATTATTGATTTGAACATTGCTTCCAAAATTATTAGACTCGTCAACTTCGGTCCTTATGAGAATGAGGATCATACTAGTTGTGTGAGACTTAAAACGTTGTCATATAGACAAGGCTGCCCAGTTGATTGTCTTTCAAAATATAAACTATTTGAGTGCAAGTGTGGTTTTAAATCGTGCAACATTTCTAAGTTATCCGTCAGAGCATTTAGAATCTTAGCTGAAGCCCATGCATGTATGATTTTATGTATTTGTATAATTCGAAGAATTTTATAGATTTAAGCGGCTTGGATGATCTCTTGGAATATGAATTTGAGAGGAAATTTATTTCAATAGGCAATACGCAGAAATATGAAATTATGCACAAGTAACTCATTCATTTAGATGTTCTTAAACATGCACAACTTGAGAATATCAAAACTCACTCATATAAGTTTTAAAATACTCACACG